ACATTTGAAGAACATTTAATATCCTCAGGCAAATTATTAAAAGCCTGTACACCTTTAAAAAACACTGAATTTTGTGTACATTTTTCTTGTTACCTGTTTAGGTTCATGAACATCCTGATTATAACTTAAAATATTTTGTAAATATACTCTGGAGATTCCTGATTTAATTTTAAATATAAAAAGCAGCGAATAGAATAGCAAATATTTTTTAACAGTCAACCACTGAAGCACATTCAACATGGAATTGATTGGTTCCAATCTCGAACAGCTCAGTATTATCCTCAGACCTCTATTCTGCAACTTTTGCAATCATTGCAACTCATTCTGGTTGAGGAAATACAGTATAGTGGCACAATAATTAAAATAAGGTAATATTAAGAGTATTATAAATTATTATTTTAGTCCATTTGCCGAGATGTGGAGAACAGCGCCTCAAATAGTTTATTTTAAATCGGACACATCTGTCCCATTACATTTACGTAAATTGAATCACGTGATCAAAGATTTACATCTCAGTTGCATCCGATGTGGATTCTTAAACGCTGCATATACTGTGAAATTTGTGTTTCATGACGTTTGGGGTTGCAAAGCTGTATCGTAGATGTTGGACTTATTAAAAAATAAAGTATTCCTCGGACTTATAATTTTTTATTAATACATTTATTTTAATGAGATTGTACTTATACTGTCTTTCTTTTTTCACAGCTAAAGTTCTTCACAAAATGATGGACAGTGTTTTATCCTGGAATATGTAGCAGCCATCCAGCTACTTCATACATAATACAATTTTCATATACATTACATTTTTTAAATATTGGATTTGTATTATATATATTCTTTAATAAATTTATTTTTTGAATATTCTTGTTTTTTTTATCTAAAAACTGTTAGCCAAATTAAGATTTGTTCACACAAACTGCATTTTTGCTTTATTATAGCGATATTCGCTATAATAAAGCAAAAATGCAATTTGTGTGAACAAATCTTAATTTGGCTAACAGTTTTTAGTGCGGATAATTTTTACTGTCAAATTTGAATAGCCCCGCGCTTTTCTTCTCTTCTTTTTATTATTTTCTCTTCTTTCATATGGCCTCTTACCAGACAAGGACTTAATTGAAAAAAAATCAACCACGTCCACCAGGTGCCGCTAAAAACTCTATCATCCTTTTTTAACATGGGAGTTACCGTTCTAAGAGTAAGTGTTCTGTGATGTGCGGTTATGTCAAAATATATAAACAATAACAAAGAATACCTAATAACAACTTATAACAATGTTCAATGTTTTAAATAAATTGAAAAGTTCCAAGTAGAAAACAAAAAAGGAATAAGCTTCTGAAAATGTTGCATGTAATCTAAGTACCTCTAATTGGACTAAGTGTTGGAAAAGTTTATAACCATAAAAATAGCTGAAAATTTTTATAGTTTTCAAAATTTGAACAAGCTTTGCTACAAAATTTCATCAAAGCTATCAACAGTTTGCAAGATATTGAGTTAAGGAACAATAAAATCACACTAATCAGGGAAAAATCAATCAACACTGGAAAACAAATTAAAAAAAAATAGTCACAGGGATATATTAGCGACTTTCAAATGTATCTTGGCTGTTGATCATGAAAATAAGAAAAAAATGTTCTCTCGGCTGGCTCTGAGTGTTGAAATAAATCACCTTGAAAGGAAGTTTTCAATAGCTCAAGACGAAATCAATAGACCTACAAGTGGTCTATCTGTGGCAGACATATTCAGTTAGTCTTTATATTTCATTATGCAATGTTACAAGGTTCAGCAACTTGCCAAAACGGTTAAAATTTATTTCCAAAATCAGTGCTCTTATTTAGTACAGAATTCTATGAACGACACAATAATTATAAAGTCCTAACTTTGAACATAAAAGAAAATCTTATAAAAAAACATTTTTTTTATATAATTTATCACTGTTTGGAAAAGTATATTTGTTTGTAAAATATTTGTATTTACAGTTATATTTAATCCAGGTTAAGTGTCAGTGCGCGAGTATAATGTTAAGTATGAACAAAATCCGCCCATTCTGTTTATATGTTTGGTTACCGACCCTAGTAGATAGGCTATTTGTTATTACTTTTAATTTAGATTTTGGATTAACGTTTTTGTATATGACTTGGCTGTTTAGTAATAAATGAAGTCAAAACTGTAACACGTGGTTTTATTCTGGAAAGTATTTTTAAATTGAATCACGCACGCCGTTCGAGTGAAAATGTTTTAAGTAGTTCAAAACAACAATCACTCTTTTTCATTGTTTATAGAATAGAGCCTTTTAGTTAGCTCAGACAAAACTGATTAAATAAATAAATTAATGTCTTATTATTTTTTGAATTTTTTTTATTTTGACTGGTTGACTATCTCAAAAATTAAAGCCAATCAAGCAAAACGTGAGTCACATTTCGCTTTTTTAGAAGAACAATAATGCAAAGTGAAAATTAATGATTCCACAGAAATAGCAAATTAAAGAAAATGTAATATAAAACTTACAACTAAGATGTTAAAGAAAAGTTTGGAAATAATCGATGGGGACTTCGAGATAGCAAATTTATTTTAGTTTTAGACAGAACTACTTTATTTTATTCGTTTTGAAACAATTGAAGATTTATAGGCCGGAAAAGCGATTTTAAACTGAATATTCAGTCCAATAGACTCTCGACTGAAATCCTTTCCATTTTTAGAATATTATCTTTCAAATTCAACAATTTTATGTTTTGTTCCAACACGGATTTTAATAATAGATTTATAAATTGTTTTTATTTGAATGTTAAAAGTTCTTAAAACTAACTTTAACATATATTTCCCATGCTGGCGCTTAGTGTTAAAATAATGAGACGTTTAAACGAAAAAGGCTTACGAGAGCCAGTTGCCCTCTTTTGGTACACATTTGTACAAGGCAACTTTACAAATGTTTCCTCCTTTTTTCTCTTGTAGAAGATGGACACGCAGTGGAGCGCACAATGATGGTATTTTAAAACGCCACGTCACATATTTGATTAGATAATTAACTTGATATAAGTGCCTTCAAGACTTAAGTCGTTAAGCATTCAAGTTTGGATTTCCCAACCCAGATTCAATTACATATAAAAAAATTCTTTCTTATTTTGGAAAAAATATGAAAAATATAATTAATGCAATCTTTCTGCTAAATTTTGTAGTATTTTGATAACAGTTCAGAAAAAAATAGTAGTAGTCAGTAACTGATCTTTACCAAACCCAAAGTTGAGCACTTAACGTCCTCTGAGCAATGAAAGCTTATGTCAATGTTAATTATCTAATCAAATATGTAACATTCGCATTTTCTATAATTTATTTTTTAAGACGCCTTCGCTGAGAGCTTCATCATTGTAGGACATGCAGCAGACATGCAGCAAAGTATTTCCATGTACAAAAAAAAAAACAATGAAAAATTTTTAATTTTGCCTTTCGAAAATAATACTCCTAAATGTGCCTACCATAAATTGGTACTCGATTCGTTTTCAAATGGTGTCAATAGTTGAAAACTGAAAATTAGTGGCTTACATGTTTTTATTACTTAGTATAATTTCACTAAACGTGTTTGGTATTGTTATAAGTTTACCTAACAGCAAAAAAATCTGTTAGTTAAATTTTGTCAGTGCCGATTTTAGTAAAATTATATTGAATAAAATTATAACTACCTATATATTTACCCATTATTACTTTTTTAATTTTCAACTTAACATCCTGTATTTCAGAACATTTTATCCAAACATTTTTTATTTTCGTCTATTCGTCTCATTTTGAACAATAATATTCAGTTGTTCATGTCCTATTCTTAATTTGATGATACCATTAAATAAAAGTGAATATAAATTAACAGCGTACAACTCAAGTTTAATTAACCATCAGCGATATATCCAAAATCCAACCACAATATAGAAAAAAATGTTCCCTACTCCGTTCCCTATTATAGTAAAATTCCACCCAATCTCAACTAATTCATTCTTTTTCAAACAAAAACTGGTTTATTTTATTATATCGATTATTTTCGCATTTTATGTGACCTTCAAATACCCTGTATTCTGTGCTTTTGTAATAATTTGAAGTAGTAAATTGTAACTATAAAAATACATTACCGAAGACAAGTAGAAATGAAAAAGAAGATTTTAAATTATAATTCATACTCAAGCACAGACATGACCTAAAGACCTGACTTGGACATAAGTACAGTATCGCCATCTACATTCTATGTCCATCGTCCTCCAATGATAAGTCCATAAGGTTACCCTACTATATTTCTTCATACAACGTTAGTATTAATAATTCTTTTTTAAACCTAATACCTAATAAGATATAATTCTGCAGTCAACAAAATATATGGTTACTGAAGAAATATGTAAGAGGCCAAAGTTGCGTTCTTTTAAGATATTTGAGTTTTAAATGTATTTTTATTAATATTTTTACTAGTTAATTTTATTTAAAAATATTATTATTCAAAAATAGGTTTAATTAAGGACATTTTAACGGATTTCAGTCTCAAATTTAAAACAGATAAAAAGAAGCAGAAATTTGATACAAATCAGACAGAAAAGAGGCCTTTGCTTCCTCGTGGTGACATGTCATTTGTCAACTTTATAATCGGTAAACACTGCTGATACACAAAAATTGTATACAGCGCATGATTTGTACCAAAATATTATCGTTTTCGAGCTTGTTGGAACAAACATATAAACAACATAATCATATGTGTATTGTCAATTATCCCTATCCTTTGTCTATTAAAAACAAAGGCCAAATACGTTATTGATTCATTTTATAGAAAAGAAGAAATTTAATATTTAATTTAAAAGTTGAACCTGTCAATTATTAAGCATAAATATTAATGCTAATACTAATCATAAATCGAGTATAAATGTCCCCATTACATTGTGAAGGTTCAACTTAATGCTTAATCATAATACTAATGCAAATACTAATAATAAGGGAGTATAAATAGACCCTAATAATTAATAGCTGATTTACGATCCTTTTCTTTTCGAACAATATCCGTCAAGACGGACCTGTTGTTTTCATAGGTCCGAACGGACGGACGGACGGACCTCTAGCCACTTCCTTTTTTGTTTTCCCCACAGACAAATCTGTTCCATCCTATATCTATCTAACCTCACTTCTAATGTTATTTCGAGTTATTCTAATTTTTGAATAGTTGAATAGTCATTCTAAATTTCGAAATTTAAATTAATAATTACAATATTCCATACAATTAAAGAAACTTCTAGAGAATGGCTTCTCTGTTACAGTTTTCCAAACCAACTGATTTAAGTGGCTATGTGTTGATGATACCCAGTGTTTCAGTAGGAAATCTTCCGCAATTAACTATTGATCTCTTAATAAAGACATACAGTTTTGAAAAAATAGCTTCAATTTGGCATCCAGCGATTGTATCCATGGTGGGAAGTGATCCATATAATTCAAGTTCATCTGAAGTATGCACAGCATGCGAATTCTATTCAAACGAGAAATTAAAAATAGCCTGCATACAGTTAAGATCTACACTGGACTATAAATTAGCAAAAAAGTTTTTTGATGATATTTATAACGTGATAAAAGAATTGCAATTGAAAAAAGTTATAATCTTATCGAGTGCATTTGATTACGAATTGCACAATATTAATAAGGAAAGATTTTATTTCTTAGATAATACTCAAAATAACAGCTTTGCAACAATTTCTAATATCAAGCAATTAGAAATGAATAATAATGGCAAATATTTAATAAATGGATCAGGATTTTCTCTAAACTTGTATGACGTTATTTCTAGAGGCTTAAAATGTGTTTTATTGGGAAAGTACATAAGTGAAGGAGATAACCGACCAGATGCTCAGTCATTGCTAGAAAAAACGTTTCAAATATTAGATATGCAAAAGAAGTTAAAGAATATCGAATACCCTAGTTCTTGGGCTTATGTATTTGGAGGCCCACCACCTATTGGAATATATTAAATTACGGTTTTCTCTGAATGTTTTTATTTAATAAATTATGTTTACTATATCTGTATTGTATTTTATAATTAATCCATAATACTTCTCACCTTAAGTTTCCATTAACATTACATACACAAATAAAAGCAGAATGGTTGTTGGGATAAGAAAACTAAAAAAAAAAATGGATGAGATTTGTTTATATATTTAAATTATTATTCAATTGCCATACATTAAAAAAAATAAGGTAATTATCTCAAATCTGTAATTATATACTTTATCTACCATATTAATGTTTGACAACTAAAACCTCTCTGATGTTTAGTTTGGCACTTAGACTAAGTAATAAAGAGAGGACGCGTAACAAGTATATCGAGCACACATAGTATTCTGTGCCGATTATCTATTGGCCGCCATTATTTTGGTGCTAATCATTTCAGTGACACCAAAGTTTTTGTTCGTGTTAAAGTTATAGCGGCTAGAAATAAGCACGTTTTACAGGTAAATGATAAACATCAATCGTTTTCACTTTATATATTTTCTTATATTTTTCATTTTATTTGGTGTTATACAACTTGGTATTTACATATTGTACATGTCTCACTCCAGAGTAACAAATTTTACCCACCAAGTTTGTTCATTTTATACTTTTCATTGATATTTAAGCAATTAATGATATTAAAATGGCCAAACATGTAATTTTTTCCAGTGGCGTGTCGTACAATTCTAAATATTAACTTTTATTAAATCCTAATTTACCTTTGCTTTTTATTTAATTGCAGCAATGTTTATTTGTTGTTTTATTTTAGATTTCCTGTGGAACAAGCAAAAAATCTTTGGTATCGAAAATTGCAAATTGGATGCCTACGCCAAATGATAAATAGTGTTCGAAACATTTTGAAAGACATTTTTTTTATGGGACGGACTGTAAAAGACGTTTACTAAATGGAGCAGTTCCCACTATATTTCCTGAATTCTCTAAATACATGCAGCCGAAGAAGGTGTGTATACTCTAATATGTAAATGTTACACAACATGCGTGGGTCGTGTCTTGTCAAAAGCGTTGTATAGTTTTCACTTCACGTTTATTTGGGTGTGGCGAGTTGTAACTTTATGTGAAAACGTTGTTAGAGCCAATAATATATAAAATAGAAGACAAACCGTAAGTAGAACAATTTATTATCTATTTTGCTAACTGGCGCATATCTCGCCGAATATTGCACAAGGGTAAAGTTAGCATTTGCATTCGTTAAATTAGAAATTAAATAAAAAGCTATGTTTTAGTCGATTATGTGCTGCGTTTGAGAATCCACATCGGATGCATCTGAGATGTAAAAAATCTTTGATCACGTGGTTCAGTATACGTAAATGTAATGGGACAGATGTGTCCGATGTGGATAAAAAAACGCTCGAGATGTAAAAAATGCATCCGATGTGGATTCTCAAACGCAGCAATAGTAAACATGAAAATCAGACGTCAAGTAGAAAACACAAAAAACAAAAAAAAAAGATAAAACTTGCACAGATTGTGATAAATTTGGTAAATGTCTAGTTTGAGCTCATTTCGATTACACAAAAACTAATGCCGATTTAGTGTAGGTCGATAAAACTGGAGCTGTAGCCATACGCTTTGGTTGCAGGATGTTTTGGTTTGTCTTAATGACACAATCTTCTGACAGTTTTATAATGCCTGTAATGTTCAATAACACGTCTTCTCTAATACCACTGCATGTTACAGCTATCCTATAGTAGGTTTGTCCGTGAGAAACAGCCATGTGTTGGGCATGTGTAGCTGTTGCCATACAGCTGAAGATGTTGAAAATTGCCTTACGTGACAGTAGTTGCGTCCTGGTCTCTCATAAATTTCATCGATAACACAATTAGGACTGGTCTCAATATTTCTTACGGCAGAAGGTGAACATATATACTGATGATTTGGAACTGGAATGCAGTGGTTAATTTCTTCTTCGCTGAGTTCGAAGTACAAATTATTATTATAGTCGATGGCAATAAGATTTCTTGATATACCTATCTAGTAGGTAGTAGGAGCCATTTGCCAGATGGAATGGTGTAGGTGTGACTCTGATCAGCTCATATTTTGAGATGTCTAGTATCACAAAGGAACTGAAGATCTGGATTTCTTTATCGGTGTTTTCTAGTGCTATGTTTATCGTTGGAGAGGAGAGTATTCTTAAATTTGCTGGCAGCTTTTGGTTAGCTCACGCAATGATTTCTCTTACGTGAGCAGGCGACATCAGATCGTACAGAGTTCCTCTATTAAACTGAATATCTAGAATCCGGGAATAGTGATGTGTTAATTCACTTAGGAAGTTTGATCCAATCTGGTAGGCACTTAAAGTATGAATGTTTAGGGTGTTGACATCGATTTTATTGTACCAACTTTGCATATCATGTATTGCATCGAGGCCTTGGTTGAGTTTTGATCTAAAGCGTTCTAGTTGGTTTTGTATTCTAACTTCTGTGTCGTTGATTTTGGATAATGTAGATATCATTATCTTACTTTGATGGTTAGTTGTTTTTATGAGTTCTTCTTGATTTTGTTGCAGTGCTTCAATATCTTGATACACTTCGTCATTGACACCAAATACAGATGTTAGCAGTTTTCCAAGAATACCTCTTTTAAAACGTTCTACGTTTGTGGTTAAGCTTGCATTTAATTTTTGCAACTGTTTTTCTTGTTCTATTAAATGGCACAGGAGAATGTTGCAATGGGTTTCTTGAGACAGTTCCGTGGTATACTGACAGAGATTTGTGAAATCTTCCACCACTTTTGATGCATCACTAAAATCTTTAGCAATCTGTGACTTGTTAAATTTTACTTCTATCCTAAACATTCCTCGGTCTAACCTGCCTTGTCCTAAGTGCTCTATGTATAGACCTGGTTTGGGATATTGTATGCTGTAGGTGGCTTGAATTTGGGGAACTGGGAATATGAGAGCTATTAGGAATAGTAGTTTAAGGCATGAGTAGGTGGTGAAGCTTTGTGGTCTTTTCTCAGGCTGTGTACGATGCACATAGACTTTCGCTAAATGACTGTTTACAGTCGCATCAGGAGACATTTTTATAGGTTTGTGAGATTCAGCATCAGTAGGTAACGGAATTAGAGTGTGTATTGATCGTTTTAGCTTGTTACCTCCTGCTTTTGTTAGGGTCACGACAAGGACTTTTTTATCATCTCCTTGGTGAACTTCAGCAACTCTTGCCATAGGCCAACGGCTTTTATAAGCACTAAGGTGCCGATTTTTATATTTTCTTCAGGTTTACACCATTTATATCTCTGTTGTAGTTGATTTAGATATTCGGATGTCCATGATTTCCAGAAATCGGCCTTTAGCTTTTGAACTAATTTCCAGCGTTGTTTGAGGTTGTTGATGTTGATATCTGTATTAATTGGATTGGGATGGGATAGTATTTCTCTTCCAATTAAGAAGTGACCTGGCGCCAAGACGGTATAATCATCTATATCTTCACTTATAGGACATAATGGTCTTGAATTAAGGCAAGCTTCTATTTGATGCATGAGGGTTGTTAATTCTTCGTAAGTTAATTTTAATTCTCCAACAATTCCTTTCAAATGGTGTTTCATTGATTTGACCCCGGCTTCCCATAATCCACCAAAATGCGGGGCTGATGGTGGAATAAAATGCCAATCGATTCCTTGAGTAGACATGGAGTTTTGAATATCTAACTTCTTGGTAATTTGGAATATTTCATTTTGCAAATAGGTATTGGCACCGACAAACGTTGTACCATTATCACTGTATGTGTACATGGACCTCTTCTTGAAGTAAATCTTTTTAAAGCAGCTAGAAATGAGTCGGTGGTCATATCGCTTACTACTTCTAGATGGACTGCTTTCGTTGCTAGGCACACGAAAATAGCTATATATCCTTTATATGACTTATACCCTCTTCCTTTTGTTGTTCTTATTTGCATAGGTCCTGCATAATCTACTCCAGTGTGTGTAAATGGAGAAGTCGGTGTGACTCTAGGCTTTGGGAGTTGGCCCATCTGTTGCTTTGCTGTTTGGTTCTTGAACCTTATACATTTGACACATTTATTTATTACTCTTTTGACAGCTTGCTTTTCTCTAATAACCCAATATTGCTGTCTACAATATGATAGGGTTACTTGGTTTCCACCATGTAGTGTTCTGTTGTGACAGTTGCGAATTACAAGATCGGTGAAGTTACTCCAAGTAGGAAGTATGATTGGATGCTTCTGCTCATATGGTAGTAACGACTTCTCTAGTCTCCCTCTGATTCTAAGTATACCTTTCTCATCAATAAATGGACATAGGTTATGTATCTTACTTGATTTCTCTAAATATCCACCTTTTTTTCAGGGTTTGGTATTCGTTTGAGAAGTGTTCTAACTGTAGCACTTTTATTACTTGTTTTAATGTGGTGTCTATTTCTTTAATTGTTAATGGACCTTTTATACGGTTTCTTAGTCTTCTACAGTATGATAAAACTCGAAGCATTTTTGTTAATTCTGAGAATCTGTCCCATATTTGTGGCTTGTTTGCTGTATTAATTGGGTGGCACATTTTGGTTATCTTGATTTCTTCATTGGTCTGGGGTATCTCTAGACCTTTCGGAAAGTCATCATTATTTTGCAGCCATTTTGGTCCTTGCCACCATAGTAAATGTTCTTTTAATTTTTTAATATCCATACCTCTGGATAGGGCATCAGCAGGGTTGTCATTCGTTTTAACGTGATTCCAGTATTCTTTTGGTATTAACTTTTGGATTATTGATACTCGGTTGGCTACAAAGGTTTTCCATTTCATGGCATCTCCTCGGATCCATCATAGGGTTATCATAGAGTCTGTCCATGCAAAGATTTTTGGTTTCTGTATCTTTAGGGCTTGTATCGTTTTTTCCATGAGTTTTCCTAGGAGCACTGCAGCACACAGTTCCAACCTTGGAAGTGTTGTTTTTACTTTTACTGGAGCGACTTTTGATTTGGCATGTAACATAATGATATGTGGTATTCCATTTATTCGTGTTTTACTGTACATTACGGCGCCATATGCTTTTTCAGATG